GTGCAGTGAAGGAGACTCTTGTGTCAGTAACATCTAGGTAAGATGTTATGGGAGATACAGACTTACTGGGTTTACTGAATGGCATATATATAACCTTACCAGTTGCTGACAATTTGGTTTCAATTCATGGCAACTTCATGTATATATCAGAAAGGAACTATGCTGCATAGAATTTTTGTGGCTGATTTTTTTTTGGCTGGGAGGCAGGAGAAATAGATCACCAAACTATTCTTCTGAGTCACCTCTGTGTTGATTGGAACGCCCAGCCTTTTGAGCCAACCACAGTAACTATGTGTGCCATTTGGAGCCTCCGCTTGTCCTTAGGAATTCTTATAGTCAATCTAATAGGAGAAGTTAGGCATTCACACACACACACACTGTGTGTACAACAGAGCCATGATTAAACAGAATAACAAATGTGATGTGGAGGTATAAATCCAGGGCATTGAGAGGAAGAGAAGTTTCATCCACGGGAAAAATTTGATGTCACCACGCATCAGCTGAGCATCAAAGGATGGGAAGGATTTGAACTTTCAGAGGTTTCTGCAAGAACCTGCTAGATGGAAATGCAAACGCAGAGTTTTAAAAATAATTATATGTTAAACACATGATGAAATAAAGTCTATGGTAATGTAAAAGGTCAAACCCAGTAAACACTATTTAATAATTTTACTTTAGAGGGTATCCTAGATCAATGATCGCATACTACAACACATCCTTACATATAATCAACATAAAAATTACAAAAGAAATTCGATAGAGTTTGTTATATACCATAGGACTTCAGAGGTTGTGGAAAGTAAAATCAAAAGATAATGCATGTGCACGTTTGTGTGCTTGTTTACACCCTAAACATAGAAAAACCAATTAATATCTAGGATCTGTTTATTGATCTCAACTTATATATTACTAATCATGACATGGTAGGATAAGAAAACTGAAATCTTGCTAAAATTCAGGAAGGGTATGTCTCAAGTATTTTTAAAGCTGTCATTTAGCAGAAAGCTTAACTAGGATCGGTGAGTGAAAATACTTCATCAAGGCAGGTTTAAACTCAACATGAAGATTTCTTGTAACTTAGCATCCTTTGTAAAGCAGTGAGCCCACTGAAGCAGGGGGATCGTTTCCTCCAGGGGACGTATGCTCAGAGGCTGGTTGACTCTGCGCCAAGATGCCTGTAGAATGTGTTTCAGGATCTCAGGAGAACGGAGACTAGCTCAGCTCTGAGGAGCTTTCCAACCGTGTATACCCCACAAAGCGGAAGGAGGCATGCTGACCACTCTCCTGAGTCGTGAGCAGTACTTCATTTTCAGAAGTCAAGGGTTCAAAAAGATGCATACGTATGTGGAATTCGATCTTAATTTTTAGTAAGTTAAGAAAGCAATCGAATTTAAACTATTCTGTGCAACTGTTGTGAGTTCTCCTGAGGAAGAAGGATGCATTAAAAAAATCAAATCAAATCAGTACAAACACTTGATATTATGAAATTATGTCATACCTATGCAATTTATACTGGTGTCATCAGCTATTGAATAAAACTAAAATGTTCTGGGTTACAAGAAGAGCTTGATTCAACTCCAGAAAAACATCTGATTAATAATTTTATGAAATATTTACTAACCTGTAATGCTGTCTCAATAGTTAGTATTGACATATTGTGCAGTTACACATTAGAGTAAAGTTTAAAATCCCCAATTAGTATACACATTCAAGGGTGAATAAACCGTTTGTCTTGGTGTTCTAAAACCTGAGTCAAATAGTTGAATTGTCTTAAATTAAAACCAATGTAGAAACAGGAATATAAGGTATGTATATATGATCTGTGAAGATATGCTGTGAAAATCCTTCCTTTTGTTGTTTTCAGCTGCAGTATTGAAGTACGAGAACAACGTTATGAATATCAGGCAATTCAACTGTTCTCCTCATCCATACTGGCTTCCAAACTTCATGGATGTTTTCACATGGTCCTTGCCATTTGTTGGGGAGAAAGGTATGTTGTAGAGTCCTGATATGTTCTTAATATGTTTCGTAGGAAGGAAGGAAAGGAGTGTGTTGTTTGAGCACAACACTCAGAAAGAGAAATAATTTAGCCCAATCAATAAAACTCACAAGGTACACCACGAGAGAAAGATTTGGAGTATGTATCACATTAAAGCAGCAGTTCTCAACCTGTGGGTTGCGACTCGTTTGAGGGTCGAATGGCCCTTTAACAGGGGTCTCCTAAGACCATCAGAAAACATAAATATTTCACAATATATAATTATGTATTGTTTTATAATTAACCACTATGCTTTAATTATGTTTAAATATGTTCAGTTTGTAACAATGAAAACATATCCTGCATATCAGATATTTACAATTCATAACAGCAGCAAAATTACAGTTATGATGAAGTAGCAATGAAAATAATTTTATGATTGGGCGTCATCACCACATGAGGAACTGTACTAAAGGGTCACAGCATTAGGAAGGTTGAGAACCACTGCATTAATAGGATCCAATGAGTGGATTAAAGGTAAAAAAACAAATGAAAAATATTAGGAAATTATTAGAATAATATAACTCCATTAAAGATCAGAGCAATAATGACTATTGGATTTCAAGGCAATTTTATGTGTTTTCCTTACCACTTTATATCACATATTTCCAAAAACCTCTTGATTTCCATCCAAACTGTCAACTGAAAAAGCTTCCCTTGCATTTCAGACATGAATAATAATTGTCGTGAGACAATGGTAAATGGTTCTAATTTCATGAAGGACAATGTCTACTATCAAAAGCATAGTTGGTTTGAATTCTCATACTTGACATAAAAACTCTTCAAACTCACTGGGTTTCTCAGACTGTGAGTCTTTACAAGAGTAGAGACCCTCATCGTTCACCCACAGAACATCTTGGAGTTTTGAACTGCTGCTTTTGTTGTTAGTAGTCCAACACATAACCCATTACACTGGGATGGTTAATTAAATTTGTCATAACTGTATAGAAGTCAGTATCTATAAATATAGCACATTGTTAAAACAACAAAACCAACAACTCCCCACCATCCAGGTAATTCTGTCCATAGTGACCTAATAGCACCTGGTTGAACAGCCCATGTGAGTTTCAAAGAATGTTACCCTTTATGAGAGGAGAAAGCCTGGAGGATCAGCTGGTGGCATGTGGTCTCAAACTGCTGACCTTGCAGTAAGCAGCCCAACTACAGCCCAGCGACTACACACCACCAGGGCTCCTTTTATATCACACTAGTATGTTACAAAAATACAGAACAATGAGTCAAAGTGTACATGTAAAAAGCTATTAATTTCTGTGATTTTTTAAGAAGATTTGGTCTTTCAAAACCTCCTTTCTCTGTCTTCCTCCCTTCCTTCCTCCCTCCCCACTTTTTCTCTCTCCACTCTTCCTTCATTATCCCTTTGTTTTGCTATCATATCTTACCCTAAATCTCACGGATCAATTGAAAGGAAGGGCTGCATTCACTGAGCCTCAGCATATCCCTAGTTCAGGATCCTGATGGTAATAGGCTAAGGCATTCCCAGGTATCATCTTATACATTGCAGAAGACAACAAATGAGTATTGTGGTAAAAGGAACACTTTCCACGTGTTTCAGAAGAGTAAAGATTTGTCCTCTCTGGAGGTTTTAGAGAAAATGTACATTTATGTGTTTGTTTCTTTCAATGTCCTAAAACTATGAAACCGAGAAGTTCTGAGTTGTCAGTGACTAAAGTTCCTCTGAGGACCACACTAAATCTCGAGTAAGTTTTAATAGTGAGTGGGAATGTTCCCATTACCAGTCCCTGTCCGTGGTTCCTTGTTCTGATCAAATGCTGCACATGTCAATGCCATCTGGTGGCTTCTCTGAAACAAAGGCAGTAAATCCTAGCAATTACCACATACCCTTGAAAAACCATTTTGTTGAGTTTTTTTCCCCATTGGTTATTTTCATTTCAAAGAACTATTATCAAAGAACATGTTAATATGTTGCTACATTTACATATTTCGGTTTTTATCATTAAACTAAAACTCCAGGATAATTTCAATTTTTTTTTTTATAATTTCAATTCTAAAGTTGAATTATATATTTTAAATTCTAGAGGAACATTGGTTTAAATGTACACAATTTTCTTGAGGAAGAAAAATATCCGGTGAGTTGAGCTTCTTTTCATGATACTAAGACCCAACCTAATTCAAAAATAAAACTCAACTCATTGCCATCAAATTCATCCTGACTCTCAGTGACCTTGTAGGACAGAGTAGAACTACATCTGGCTTTCTGAGATGTATAGAAAGCCTCATCTTTGATGCTCGAAGCAGCCGGTGGTTCCAAACTACCGACCACGCAGTTAGCAGGACAATTTGTAACCCACTATGCCAGCAGCACTCCGTGATTTCAAAAATATGAATGTAAATGCATATGCATCTTAGTGTAATCCTGTACTAATTTTCTCCATATAGCCCTTTATATGATTTTCTTTTTTTATCTTTATTGATTTTGATTTAAACTTTCTTTTAAATGTTTTTGAAAATCAAATTTAGTAGTGTTTTCATCAACGTATTTATTTTTTAATGAGTATGCTCAGAACGGCTCCAAAAGTACTAGTAGTTCTTCAAGAAACAATTTTAAAAAAATCATTTTATTGGGGCTCTCACAGCTCTTATAACAATCCATACACCCAGTCAAGCAACAGTTTTTAAAAGTATAAAACTGTGTGCCTATAATCAGGTACTGTAGTGCATTCTCTGGGGAGTTGACAACCAAAATTCAGCATTTACGTAAGCCCTGCTGAGCAGAAGTTTATAATGTTTGTTCTAGGTGTAATGGCCTCTTGGCAAAGAAAATATAAAAATTCAAAAACACCTGCTTTCTCCCTGATAGATTTAAAATGCATTTGCACCCTTACAGAGTTAATTTGTGCATGGCTTTTTGACCTATGTCTAGTTAATGCTGCCATTCACTTTGGGACGAGACATGGATGAATGACTCGGAAACGTAAAGTCTACATAGAGTCACAAAGGCTCTCTTGTACATGTATCTGTAGTATTTTAGAGAAAGTCTACATAGAGTCACAAAGGCTCTCTTGTACATGTATCTGTAGTATTTTAGAGAACGCTATATAACGTTATTCTTTATTGTTCACATTGGCCATTCAGAGCTCTGCAATAATCACTGAAGTTCTAACAGAAACCGTCCCCTCTCCTTCCTTTCTCCTGTTAGTGACGGAGATGCTGGTGAATGTCCTCAATATCTGTTCGGATGATGAACTTGGGTCAGAAGAAGATGGATTTGATGGTAAGCGCTTGAGCCTGTCTTAACGCCACTGCCGTATTAGGCATCTCACTGTTAACCTCAGTGGTATTTCTGAAGATTTCAGTCGAGTACAAATTATAACATACCACAAGGGGCTTCAAAAAGTTCATGGGAAAAAAGGAACTCAAAGATAACAGGATACTCAGCAAATATGTTGAAGCCCTCTCATAGAGTGAGATAGAGATCTCGTGTTTTCCTGCTGCTTTGAAAAACTCTTAAGAAAGGCAATACCTGAGCTTTCCCATTGCTTTGAAAGCAAATTAGTGAACTCTTTGATAACCACCTTTCAGAAGTACACACTAAGTGAAGAAGTTTCTTTCTTTAATAAAAGAAAGAATTCATTTTTCCCAAGAAGGAGCCCTGGTAGCACTGTGCGTTAAGCAGTGTGCTGCTAACTATAAGGTTGGCTGTTCAACCCATCAGCTTCCCTACAGGAAACTGATACGGTTGCCTATTCCCTTAAAGCAGTGGTTCTCAGCCTTCCTCATGCCGCGACCCTTTAACACAGTTCCTCGTGTTGTGGTGATCCCCCAACTATAAAATTATTTTTGTTGCTACTTCATACCTGTAATTTTGCTACTGTTATGAATTGGGCGACCACTGTGAAAGGGTCATTCGAACCCCCAAGGGGTTGTGCCCCAACGTTGAGAATCGCTGCTTTAAAGTGTATTTGATTGTGTATTTAAAGTGTATTTAATTGTGGAGTATTTAAATGTGTAAATTACGAACATGTAAGTACCGCACTTATGCAAATGATAATTAGTATCTGAACCGTGTGATGTAATGTTCTCGGAGACTAAGGAGTAGGTCTGCTCTACCCGGTAAGGTCACTGTGACTCTGACCATAGGTAGTGATGGAGTCAGCGCAGGTAACTACTTCCGCTGGGCAACATTTCTAAAAGGTGCCTTTTAGTGGGGTTGTTCCCCTCCATTATTTCAATTGTGGTTTCTATAATAAAGAAAGCAGTTATATATTGGTACAGTAGTATGCAGGGAGCCCTGGCACCCCCAGTGGTTAAGTGTTCAGTCGCTAAGTAGAAGGTCAGCAGTTTGAATCCACCAGCAGCTGCTTCTGTTCAGAATTCGGTCTCGGAAGCCCTGCGGTAGTCCTGCTCTGTCCTATAACGTTCTTTTCCGTTGCAGAGAACTTGGTGGCAGAGGCTTTTTATTCATTTCACTTACTGCAGCTTTTTCAAATGTGTCGTCATGAAAAAGGAATAAGTGATGAGGCATTTTTATATTTTACTTCTCGCAGAGCCTTAACATTACTTTCTTACCCTCAATCTTTTAAAATGTTAAAAAGAATATGATGCTCAAATGTCTATGAGACTGATTATGGAGCAAAACAATCATTCTGATTCTTATACAAACACCCCACAGTGAATGGACTCTAACAAGGATCGATCTAGAGGAGGAAGTGGCAAGAGCCAACCGTATTAAATACGTATTCTATCCAGGGCACCGGGCCTTGGTCCTTAAAATAGTTAGTCTGCTTAGTAGACCGTGAAAGTAAATAAAATCAGATAGATTATAAAATAGAGGATGAAGGTGGTAAGGAGTGTATTTAATGGTGGAGTGTTTAAGTGTGTAAACGACAAACACTGAAGTACTGCACTTCTGTAAATAAAAAAGACTGTGGCCCTTTCTGAAAATTAGTATCTGAACTGTATGATTTAGTGTTTACTGGGACATCATGTAGCATTTAATCTCTAAATGGAAAATATCCAATGCGACAAGTAAAAGTAAAATACAAATAGTTCATCACTCGCTCACTCTGTCACTGGCCTTGAGTTGATTCTGACCTACAGCAGCCCCGGAGTTCAGACTAGAACTGCCTCTGGGTGTTCGGATGAGGCTACATTTTTCCAGGAGTAGAAAGCCTCACCTTTCTCCCACGACGAAGGCTCAGATGTGCATGAAAACAGGGTCTGCATACCTAGATCAAGTGTAAGCATCTAATTTATTGCCGCCTTTTCAGTTTTCTTTTTTCCATAACTTAATTTTGCTCTCATTAATTGTCTGCATAAGCTACACTCTCCTTGACTCATTTCTCATTCCAAGGGAACGTAGACAATAGAGAAAGGAGAATGAAGATATAAAGAAATAAACTTTACTGGATTAAGAATAATCTTAAACACTTATTTTTGCAAGTATATTGCTATATTTCAAGGCGTTAAGAGATAAAGTGAACATTTATGTTTTCATATAGATTCTAGATGTTTCATATGTTATAGCCATAATTTGCTACTGTTGCGTTTTCCAGGAATATTAAGATATCATTTAAAAGATAATACTTTCATAATGACAGATTTTTTTCCTTAAAAAATAATTCTTACCAGATAGACTGTAAATCTTAAAAGTCAGCCTTTTTTACTAGATGATGTCACTATATTATTTTACTCCATGAAGGAAAGTTGAATGGACATTAATACAGTATTAATCTCCTGTTTAAAAAAGCTCCATATTAACAGCCAGCTGGCCAATGTATGCAGTATGTGCAATATAAAACAAATATATCATGTGTAGAATAAGCACCAGATTGACATATGCTTGTAATTATATGCTCATTCATTCACTCAGCAAATATATATTGGGTACCTACTATGTTCCAAGTACTATAGTCAAAAATTTCAGTGCTTCTCAACAGTATAGGTGATTCAGGCACAGTTAAATATTGATGTGACTAATTCGCTTTTACTTCTCTTTCTTCACCGGCTCGCCCTGTCACTGTCTTGAAATGATTTATTTTGCAATATACTCTGCTTTAAAATAATGAGTTCCAGTTATAGGAGTACATGCCATTTTTAGTATTATTATTGTGCATATGTGCATATCTGTCTAACAACATCTGCTCATCGGACACTTTTCACACATACAAATTTCGTAACTGATTACATTAATCATTGTTGGGCACCCATCACCAGTACCTCTTGCCCAGTTTCCCATCCCCATAAAGAGAAACGCAGAGGAGTGCATGTCCTTTTACAGGCTTTTGGAAGACTTTTTTTTCTTTTTAAGGAGCCTGGTGAATCTTTCTGTTCCCTTAAGTCAAGTCAGTCCCGAAGAGAAATGTAATTTTGTCTTGCCCAGGGTGAAATTTTGTCATGTTAAAATTATAGGTGTTTCTCAGCAGGCAAAGTCTCCTGGCTCACCAAGGCTCCTCCTGGGTAGCATTCAAACCATGTCATAAATTTCTCCTGGGTTGATTCTTTCTGCCTTACAAGTAAAGGAATTTGATAGTCTATCTAGAAGAATGTTACTCTTTTCAATTGGCCTGTGGTTCATTTATGTTGAAAATAAAATCTAAGACGTGTGCTATCTTGTAAAGTTTGGAAGCAGTTGAATGCCAATGAGTGGGTTTTGAGGATCTAATTTATATGTATTGGGCTCTTTGTTTCCTGTTTCCACTGATTTTGGATGAAAAATAACAGACTGGTTTCAATTTAGGTCGTTACTCACCAGAATAGTTCAGAGAAGGAAGAAGTCCAAGTTAGATGTATCTGATTTGGTGGTTAATCCTCACTGATGAGGAGGACTCAGTGCAGTACGAGGATTAGTAAGTGATTCCGAAGTAGATTGAAAAGCTTTACAAGAAAGCAAAACACATCACAAAGATCTCTTTGTCAGTATCCTGACAATGAAGGATAGAATGGCAAGTAGGTGTCAGAGAGGTAACAGTTTCAAGTGTTCGGGATGTTTATTTGGGACTTTGATTCGGATTTTTTTTGTTTTTCAGTTTCTGGAATCATAGTTTCAGAGATAAGTTTTTATAAGCACATGACATTGAAGACTATGCTATATGATAAGTCTGCCTAACCAGAGAGTGCTGAAGGTGAAACTGAAAACCTGTAGGATAAAAAAGCAAAGGGAAACTATAAAATGAGTACACTTCAAGCCAAACATAGTTTCAGGCTGCACTGGAAATACTTAATATTAAATTAGAAGTTATGTCTTTGCTTTCATCTTGAGAAACACGCACACGGTGGAACTCTTATTCTCTGTTTGCATTTTTTGCCTGAGCCTCACATTAACCACAGGCAAGTCATTGGATCTGGGATCAGAGCAGCCTTTCGCAGGCCTCTGTGAGCCCATCTAAATGGCAGACAAGGAAATGATCTTCCAGCATCTGCTTTGAATTATTAGATAAACTTTCATATCTCATACTATAGGTTCCAGAGTGTTGCCTTACTTCTTTCTGTGTAGCTTTAAGAAGTCAGACAGTGTTCGTTAAACTACGAAGTTGGGAATTCATAAGTAGCATTTTCTTGGTCCTTAAGGAATACCTCTGTAAGGACTTGATTATATTATTTTCTACCGAAACTATATTGATTTTCATAATGAATATTTGAAAAGATCTAGCAAAAAGAACTTGACACTAATAACTCTTTTTCAAAATGCTTTGGGACCTAAATCATAAGGAACTACCCCTCATCTAATCAAGTCACTATTTTCAGCACTGAACCCAACATTTTACATATGATTGCTTTTAAGGCTGCTTATGTAAAACTGAAAACTCCACGAATTTGGTTTGCTGGTTTGGAGGTTTAGGGTCATGGCTTCATGAGATATCTTGATTAATTGACTAATAATGTGTTCTTCTGGTCAACCTCCTTGATCATTGCATGGTGCCTGTAATCTTAATAAAGGATCTTGCCTAGTGGCCGTCCAAGTCACAGTTGTTCATTAATCCTTCAGCACAACAGAAAGAGAGTCAGGATTCAAAGGAAATGCTAGATGCGTGGCTTTGTCATGAGACTAGAGAAGTGAATAGTGCTTGGTTTACCATCACTGAACATTCTGATTTGGTTCTAAAATAATCCTGATCAAAGTAGGGGAAATTCAGAACAGAATTTCAATTCTCATATTCTCATTGATTCTAAACTTTCTGGAACCGGGGAGACTAGATGAATTCCTGAACCTATTATCCTGATGTAATCTTTAAAACATCAGACAAAAATAACCCCAAAGTCTTCTTAAAACCA